CAAAGACACTTACCAAGTGTCATGTCATAGCTTAAATAGAAGATCTAAAAAAGAGCTCATTAATGCAAGTTGCCGACTTTATCGTTCAGGACGATACTAATATCATCCTGTACGATCAGTGCAAAATAATCCCAATCAACCGGGATGATTTGAGACGATCAGAAGAAATTTGTTCATATCATCCAGGACGATAATATATCATCCTAGACGATCAGTACAAATTGTGGAATATCATCCTGAACATCTCCCTGAAAAAGAGCTGTCTGATGTCCAATCGTCCAGCGTATCATCCCGGACGATCCTGCAATCGTCCAGGATGATTTATTCGACCAATCAAGTCATAATTACTTTTCTTAAATGCCAGATTAATTTTGGAAAAAATTGCCTAGATCATCCTGGATGATATTTTATAGTCCTGGACAATCCCCTGGACGATGTCCAAAAATAAGTAATTCCTAAATAGATATGGCGATAGATTCTTTTTATTTTGAGCCTATTATCCTGGCCGATACAAAATCATCCAGGATGATGTTTTTGCATAATGATGGCTACTCTAATGAGGATGCCATAATCAGGGTTTCTGCTTTTGAACCGATCGTCTAGGACGATATAAATATCGTCACAGACGATGTTACCAAAAATAGTAAACATTAGGGAACAATCAGAGAATCTTCTAAGTTACAAAGCATCCGGAGCCACACCACATACAATAGACTCAAGAAAGGAAAAGGGTTACAAATTGACTCAGACCTAGTACACCCAATCTTGAGCTGATTCCAAATTACAGTCTGATCTTGTGGACCTGCAATGTTAGTAATAAGGCAGTCATAGAGAAATAAGAGTACTTGCAATAAGAGTGTTTGCTATCATCAAAATCATAATCCATGAAAACAGATCCGTAACATATTATTGATGGACCAGAATTTCTAGAGATGCTATTCCATAAATATAATAAATATTAAGAACTGAAAGTTATTTAATAATGTATAATTATCAATATATGTATGTGGCCCAAGTGGGAGAATATTGTAAACTTTTTATATGTTGACATATATATATATATATATATAAAATATTATCCATTATTTCATATCTAAAATTAAGACAATTAAATTTGTGATCTAATTAAGAGTTAAATTATTATTTGTCTTACATGAAAACTCATTTAGATTTGTATGAAATTAAATATTATGTATAGACCGAGTATTATATTTTATTTTAATAATGGATTAAAATAAAATAAATATATTTAAAGTTTAAACATGATTATGGTCCCCAGCTTAAGTGGTTGCATGGTTCTCATTTTTTTTTCTCATTCCTCCTCTTGAGTGAAAAGAAGTGTCTCTCGCTTTCCCTTGAGAATGTTGCTTCAAACGTGAAAGATCGAAGACCAGTTTTTTGCATTTCAATGAATCCAAGTATTATTGCAGGAATTAGAAAAGAAAAATAAAAAAAAATACAAAAAAGTATTATTGCAGGAATTCTTCTCAATGATTTGATATGAAATTTAAGGGCAGTTTAATTATTTTTTATCTCCACTTATTTCTAATAATGAAAGCTATAGGTAAAAAAATTTAATGATGAATTTTTCTTTGAAGGGCTTACTGTTATACCTCTAAGTATTAATAAGTATGATTGCATATCATTAACATATAGTAAGCCTCATAAGTTCTTCACAATATGTTGCTCATATAAGTGTTATGTAAGCACACATATTAATCATCAAATTTGGATAAACATGAATTGTTATGCTATCATTTGGGGTAAAAGATTGAGTTTAATATATAGTTATTTATCATTGGTATTTAGCATGGGGCCTTAGAATATATTTGGAATCATTTTATCTTGTCATGCTATTTTTTCAAATTATCAATTACAAGAAAAAAAATGGCATTAAGAACATTTAAAATAGGCTTTTGTGATGGTTTTAATTGGCTCAAAAGTAGCCTGCAATTTAAAACCATTGCATGCCTGCTATATTTGATTCCCACAACAAAGGTAATTCACACTGATTCTAAAATCAATTATAAAGGTGTGTAATGGGGCAGTTCTCATTTCGACATTATTTTTGTAATTATACAAATGGTTAAAACTATCACTAATTCTCTAGATTAGTGGCAGTTAAAACTGTCACTATTTTTCCAAATTTTTTAAATGATTTTGTAGTAGGCACGAACAATAGAAGGAAATTTGAAGAATAATGGACACTGCACAAGACTATGCATGCATTTTCTTACAACTATTGTGCATGAATGATAAATGCCTAGTAAGCTTGGTAAGGTTACACCTAATGCATGCATTTGTTTACATAAATAAGAGAAACATAAGTTTGTAATGGCATAAATATTTTCAATTTATTTTTAACTACAAAACAAGATACATACGGATTATAGATAATTGATAACCACCACAACAATAAAAGCTAGTGTAACAACCCCTTCCACAACAACAACAACAACAACATCAAGCCTTTATCCCACTACGTGGGGTCGGCTACATGAATCCTTTTTCTCCATTGTGTCCTATTAAAAATAAAATTCTCGTTTAAATCTAATAAAGAAAGGTCATTCCTAATATTTTCTAACCAAGTCTTTTTAGGTCTACCCCTACCTTTCTTAACATAAGTAAAATCTAATATCTCTACTCTCCTAACCGGGTCATCGGAAGGCCGCCGTTTTATGTGATCAAACCATCTAAGGCGACTCTCTCTAATCTTATCTTCTACTGGAGCTTCTCCAACCTTTTCACGTATATGCTCATTTCGTATCCTATCTCTTAGGGTAAAGCCACTCATCCACCTGAGCATCCTCATCTCGGCCACACTTAACTTAATATTATGTTTTTCTTTTAATGGCCAACATTCGGCACCATAAAGCATTGCAGGCCTCACTACCATCTTATAGATATTTCCCTTAAGTTTGAGGGGTACATTTCTATCACATAACTTGCCCGATGCATTCCTCCATTTCAACTATCCAACTTGAATTCTGCTGATAATAACCCCATCTATTTCACCATCACTCTGAACAATAGATCCAAGATATCTAAAATGTGTACTCTTATTAATGACTTGTTCGCCCAAAGTCACACTAGGTCTATTAATACGAAAATTACACTCCATATATTCCGTTTTAGATCTACTCAAGCGAAAACCTTTAGACTCTAAGGTTGACCTCCATAATTCAAGTTTACCTTCAACTCCCTCTCTAGTCTTATCAACAAGAAGAATATCATCAGCAAAAAGCATACACAATGGTACATGCTCTTGCAAATGTCTAGTGATAACATCCATGACTAAAGCAAAAAGATATGGGCTTAAGGCTGATCCTTGATGTAATCCAACCGAAATAGGGAAATACATGGTCAATCCACTTTGTGTTTGAACACAAGCAATAGCTCCTGCATACATATCTTAACATGATTTAATATAAGCATTATCTACTCCTTTCTTTTCAAACTCTCCACTACACTCTCTTGGAACTTTTATCAATATGGTTTTTCATAAATCAATAAATATCATATTGTAGAATCCTCCTTATTTCTCTATAATTCTTCCATCAAACTCTAATAATACTGTATGGCCTTCCCATAGATCAACCTTCCGGCATGAATCCAAATTGTTTTGAGAAAACATTAGTCACGCACGCACCTATGCTCATAACTCGCTCCCAAAGTTTTAAGTATGACACATTTGAAGCTTAATACCTCTATAATTCGCCCTAATCTTGTGCTCACCTTATATTTAAAAAATTGAATTAAACACACTTCATGTCTCCAACTCACCTGGCATCTTTTTAGTCTTCAAAATAGTATTAAAAGTTTAGTAAGCCATGAAATTCCTCCATCTCTTAAGCATTTCCACACCTCTATTGAATATCTTAGTCCAACAGCTTTTCCACCCTTCATTTTCTTAAAGCCTCTCTAACTTCAATTTTACTAATACGCCGAAAAAGAACAGAATCTTTATTTTCATTTAGGGTGCTAAGAGTCACTATAGTCAATCTATTTTCACAATCTTCATTAAAAAGCTTAGCAAAATATCTCATCCATCTTTGTAGAATATTCTAAGTATTTTTTCTTCTTTAATGAATTCAATTATCTTACTTATCATCCTTTTGCTATCTTAATACAATCACTTCTCTTGAGCTACAATCTCTACTACTAAACTTGTGGCTTACTACTACAATTATTTAGAACTAGTCTTTATATCAATAAAAAGCTCACTCTTGCATCTGCATACTTGCTTTTAGCATCCTTACGAAGCCACTTTATTATATTTCCCAATTATATAGAATTTTTAAAATTAAACCAATTAAACAACCCCTTCCACTACAAATATTTAATCTATAAAAGCCAAAATAAAAGGATTGGTAGGAACATCAAGCTCAATAATACAATAATCAAAAACAATATGCGATAATTAATGAACATTCATCTAGTGTGAGCCCCTCCTCGATAAAGAAGTTCACAACCTTTTCTCAAAGATTTCAATTAATTAAGTGGAAAAAAAAAATAGCAATCAACAGTTACATAAAAATTGCAAAAAAACTTAAAGTTACATTTTAAAATATTGCATAGCAAGCTTGTTTCCTTTATATGAACCCTCCATTAATAAACTTGGTAGGAGAAAAATTCTCCAGTGGCATCTTAACTTTGAAAATAGTTAAGATATATCACTAACTCATGGCATTACAACAAGCCTTAAAATTATTTTTTTTTTTTTTTTTGAAAGAAATGCAGTAGAGATTGCATTAAGAACGATCGCCACAAAGTCACAATATGTACAAGTAATGAGGGATCAAATTCCTTCCTCCTAATTAACTTTGCCAAACAGGAAGGAATGCAATCAAAGGAAAACTATAAAAAAGTAAACTCTTCTCCAATCTATAGTAAGCACAACAATTAGCTACTTTATTACATCTTCTATTAGCATGGAGGAAAACAACTTTATTAAAATCACTAAGAAAACACAAATCTTTATTAGGCCACAATCAACATACCTTTTGTTCTTCTTTAAAGAGTCTTGAATGAACTTGATAACATTGGCATTATCACTCTCAATGATCAAACCTTTGCACTCCAACATCCAGCTTTTCAGAAATTCCTTCACCGAAAAAACAGCTTCAAGCTCTAATTGAGCAATGTCCCAATGAGTTCCCTTCTTTCCAAATGCACTTATAAGCCTGCCTTTATGGTCTCTTAGAACACCACCAACTCCAGCCACATTGGAACTAAGCAAAGAAGCATCAACATTGATCTTGATCCAATCTTTTGGTGGAGGGCACCAAGTGCTTTGAGACTCCCTTAGGAGATTAGCACCCCAGCAAGAAAGATAAGGACCAGAGTTTGAAATGGCTGAAAACATAGCATTTGAAGCAACCACAGAACTTGGCAAAGCACTCTTACCTTGCTTGACAACGTTCCTATTCTTCCACGAATGGTAAACAATATTACAATAAATTTGTACAATTCCCAAATTTTTCTGTACAATGTGTTTTAAACCTTGTAAACAACTATCAAGGGAACTAAAAACAGGAATAGAGATACCCCATTCACCCATCTTTGCAATAACATCAGTCATATATTTGCACTGTACCATTATATGCTCATATGTTTCACTAACTTTGCAACCTCTAGGACACCAATCATCATCTGTAATCTTACGGTTCTTCAAAAACTGATTAGTTGGGATTGTTTCCTTCCCCAACCTCCACCAAAAGACCTCCACCTTTTTTTTGAGTTTCAATTTCTGTAGCCATGAGAAATATTCAACATCCTCCATATTATACTTGTTAGATAGCATTTGCTCAAAAACCAAAGCTGATACAGTCTTCCCCGAGCATTTCTTCATCAATTCCAACTGGTCCTCCCCTTCAAAATCTATTTGAATATGGCTGATCAAGGTAACCAGTGTAGGGTGAAAAACCTTCTATAATTTGAAGTAATCCCATGTACCATTACTCAGTATAAATTGCTGGACGTATACCCCATCCAATGACTTATAGTCAATAAAGGTTGGCCACCTGTTGATACATCTATCTAGCAACCATGTATCATTTAGAACATTAATCTTATTCCCCTTTCCTACTCTCCACCGAATAGCCAATTTCAAGCATTTACCACCATCAGCCAGAATTTGCCAAGCCGTTGAAGTAATCTTCCTTTGAGCACCATTCATCACATCATTCTCATATCTGGCTGTTATTACACGGTGGAACAAAGATTGCAGTTTCTGAATAAAATTCCATGTCAACTTGGACTTAAGAGAACCAATTCTATCAAGTGGGGAGTGCACCCCAAGTCCTCCAAAGCATCTTGGTTTACAAATATCTCCCCAAGCCACATAATGCATACCTTTAGTCCCCTCATTTTTATGCCAAAGAAAACTTCTACAAAGTTTCTCTAACTCATACAAAACCCTCTTGGGTACCATAGAATGAGTTATTAAAAAGGTAGGCATAGATAGCAAAGAACTATCTATAAGAATCAACTTACCTCCTAAAGAAAGGGACTTCTTACTCCAAGCATTGAGTTTGTCCATTGCATTGCTTAAAACATCTCTAAAATCAACCATTTTAATTTTCTTCAAAGTCATCTTCACTCCCAGATACTTAATTTCTTTGACAACTTTAAAGCCAAGAGCTTTAGCAATCTTTTTCTTCATAGAGTACCTAACAACCTTGCTGAACATAATTTGAGATTTGCTTACATTCACTCTTTGACCAGTCCACCTACAAAATTCTTCCACAATATTCTTCAAATTCTTTGCTAAGTCCACGGATGCATGAGAAAAAATCAGCACATCGTCTGCATAAAGGAGATGAGTTACTAGTGGACCTCTAGATGAAATTTGTATACCAAGATTCTGACCCCTTTGCATAATAGAGTTGGACAAGAGTTGAGAACATAGAATGAAAAGGTATGGTGACAATGGGCATCCTTGACGGAACCCACTTTGAGCATCAATCCAACTAGAATTTCTCCCATTGATAATTATAGAGAACCTCACATCAACAACACACTCCATTAGAAGGGTAGAAAAATCAATAGGAAAACCATACCAATCAAGAATGTGCCGAAGAGATGTCCATCCCATACTATCATATGCTTGCTCCATATCAAGTTTGATAGCCATCAACCCCTTCTTGTTTTTAGAGATTCTAAATTTGTGAAATACCTCTTGAGCCAAAAGACAATGATCCGCAATAGATCTTCCATGAATGAATGCCACTTGTTCTTCTGAAATCATCTTTGATATCACCTTCTTCAATCTATTAACTAGCATTGTGGCCACTATCTTATAGTTAGTTTGGCAAAGGCTAATAGGCCTAAAATTAGAAGGGGTCATAGGATTTTTAATCTTAGAAATCAAGACAATCAAAGTATTCTTCCACTCCCTATGCATATAACCTGTTTTAAAAAAACAGTTAACTGCCTTCCAAAGAGTCTCCCACACAATACTCCAATAGCTTTTGTAGAAAGAATAGGTGACTCCATCTAACCCAGGAGACTTGTTGTTGCCCTGCTGAAAAACCGAATTCTGCAGTTCAGCAATAGAGAATTCTACATTAAGCACTTCCAAATCATGAATGGAAACTTTCTGGTTTTCAAAAACTGCTGGCCAACCCGAAACTTTACACTCCATGTATTTCCATTTTTTTTCAAATAAAACTGATGAAAACCTTCTCAATTTGCTCATCTTCATCAACAACATTGCTTAGCTCATCTTTGATTTGAGTTATCCTGTTTTCTTTCCTTCTAGCCGTGGCATAGCTATCGAATAGATTGGAATTTGTATCACCTTCCTCATGCCACCTAACCTTTGCCCTTTGATTCCACCAAGTAGAAATCCTCTTCAAGGTGACATTAAGTTCATGAACTTTATTCCTTAGATCCACCAAGTCATCATCCGACCAGCTGATTCCCAATGCTTCCTTGCTTTGAAGTTCAAGGATTTCATCTTTCAACTTATCCTTTAGCACATTCAAATCTTTACATTTGTTCCTATTCCAAAAAAATAATCCTTTTAGAGTACAATTAAGCTTCCTTTGAAGGTTCACAAACTCATCACCCACATCCTTCTTGCTCCAAGAATGAAAGACAATGTTCTTTGCTGCAGGATAAGACCTCCATGTATCTTCAATTCTGATAGTCTTAGACTTGAGCTGCACCTTCTCATTCATCTTCATAACTATTGGACAATGATCAGAGGCCAATCTTGCAAGATGTCTAGCAACCACTAAAGGAAATTTCTGAATAGCAACAGAATTAGCCATACACCTGTCCAACCTTTCCCATATTCGAGAAGCCCCCTCCTTGTTGTTACACCAAGTAAACCTTGGCCCCACATAGCCAACATCATGAAAATCAGCATTCATCATAAAGCCCTTCATCTCCCTAGGTCCCTTAGAGAACAAGAACCTCTTTCCTCCTCTCTTCTCCTCCTTATTAGTTATACAATTCAAGTCTCCTCCTATGATAAAAGGAATATCATTCACCAAACTCTTTTCTATCTGTTTCCACTGCTCACTCCTCTCCTTGCAACATCTACTACCATAATCACAAGCAATTCTCCAAGTTCCTAAGGTGGGAACTAAGAGATTGCCTATGACCACCTGTGAAGTGGCCTCTATAACATCAAAAGTCACCATCTTGTTATTCCAAAGCACCGTAATACCACCAGATTTAACAACAACAGGGTAGTGAAAAAACTCCCATTAAGTCCCTATTAGATAATCAACCTCCTTTCTATCAATGCTAGATAGCTTTGTCTCCATAAGCCCAACAAAAAATACATCATGATCCTTAACAATTTCTTTCAAATACAAGGAAGCCTCCTTCTTTCTTGATCCCCTGCAATTCCAAAATAGAATAGAAGACATTAAATAGGTATTGAAGATCTCTCCCCACTGTTGGGGTTCAATCTTACAACCTTTTTCTTCTTCTTATGATCAGGCTCAACCGGTCCCAAGGATCTCAATTCTTTAGCTAACTTTACCTTGGCCATACTACTTTGAAAACCCAAGTCAGTATGATTACCATCAATTTCAGGTATAGCCTCACTTCTATTCACGGCTTTATCACTTCCATCATGTATCTCTTTCTCGTCCTCAACAACTTTATCAATCAGTACAGCAAACAGGTTATTTGAAAGATTTTCACACTTATCAGCAGCAGATTCCACCATAATGCCAGAACATTTTACTTGAGCCTCCTCTGCTTCCTTAACTGATATATTATTCTCAGTTATAGTCTTATCTTTCTCCACCTGACGACTATTGATGTCTCTATTCTCAGCAACGCTTCCCTTATCCTTCCCACCTCTTCCAGCCACCAAATTTCTTCTAAATCTTCTTGTTTTGAACTGGGCATGTATCCATGGCCCATACTCAGAATTAGTTATTGAAGGATTACTCTCAACTGTAGCCTAAAATTAGTTACAAAAGAATTTCATAATGAGTTAACTCATAAATTTAAAAGACAATAGAAAATTATTATATTACAACCCTAAAATCTATTTATTAAAACCTACAGATAAGAAGAATTAAAAAAGATTAAGATAAGAGAATAATCATCAATTAAATATAAATTGTTACAATTCTAAATGCATAAAAAAAAAACACTACCTCAATAAATAGACTTTTCCCATTGCATTTTTGCCTACAGTATTTGCTTTTTTAATGGGAGATAAACCTATAAATTGTATAGATTTAGAAAAATTGTATATAGAAATTTTGATTAGAACAATTAGGTGAGATTTCTTTTTTAATTTAGCTTTTTCTGGCATTTGATCAATATATTGCACTTCAATAGTATTAGTATTGTAGAAAAAAAAAATACTTTTAGATTTTAGCAAATGTAAAAGAGAACAACAAGAATCCACACAATTTTTTTAGGGCCAAAATTATTATGGTGACCTATTAGATTTATTTTTAAGACATGTATTTAAATACATCATGATAATAACTTCATCATAACCAAAAACAATACATTGTTCTGATGGATGCAATAAAAAATATTGTTACTCAGAGAAACTTCGTAATAACCATTACAATTAAAAATCAGTCATATGTAATATAGTAAGGGGCTCTTTCCCTTAGAACATCAGATGTTTGATGAATTATCATTCCCTCTCTGCAAGTAGTATGAAAGCTATGAGAAGCTAATAATCAAATAATCTATATTAAAATTAGAACTTCTACTTTCTACATACCATTTACGAATTTCATATCAGTGGATGATGTAGCTAGAATTGTACCTCTTTCATGGAATTGTTGATTAACAACTTTCTCTATATTCAAACGTGTGAGATGTGTGTGCTGATGCCTCTTTTCTTTTTTTCTCCACCTTTGAAACCCTCTCTATAAGATGTCAGAGTATCACAACAACATAGAACATATTTGAGAGTTTGGACTAGCGATTTATCATTTAGCTTAAATGATATAACCTTTCGTAAGGGAATTCCACCACTAGAGAGCTAAAACTTTTTTTTTTTTTGGCAATCTTAAGTACAAAGATTTATCATCAAAATTTTATTTTTGATGCCAAAAAGTATGAATATCAGGAGGCCAACATCGATGACGCATATATACAAATTTCTTGCCTTTATATAATTAGAGAGATTATATATTTTCTACACATTAAGGATATACAAATCTCTTTTTTGTGGTCCACTCAAATGATATGTCATAATGTAGGAAAACCATTAATTTTCCACATTAAAGCATCATTTATATTGAAAGTTTGTTTAGTTGTACGATCGTAGCATTGAATTCCATGCCATTATTCACATAACTCTTGAATTAGTGGTTGAAGATAAATGTCAAGAGCATTTCAAGGATAATTTTCCCCTAGTATAAGAATTGAAAGAATGGAAAAAATTTGCATCATTCCAATCGAAGACGGCAAGTTACAAAGAAGAAAACGTACAGGCCAAATATTGTATGTAATACTCATAATCTTGAAATGATTAAAGCCATCCATTGATAAACCAAGGCAAAATTATGTGGATCATTTGCAAAATCACGGTATTGTAATTCATAAGTTTTTCATGCTTTTCCATCAGCTAAATCACATAGTAAGACATCAACATTTTTGTGTGTTGCATGCCAAATCATCTCCTCAATAGAATTCTTTTTTTTTTTTAAATAATCTTTATAGTCTAGGAATTAATGGGAAATATTGAATAATTTTAGCTGACTTCATATGGTCTTTGTTCCCTGCCATAATTCTCTTCTTAGTACTTGATCATCTTGATACTCCACAATTGTGACATACCTCTTGATTAGATTAGTATTGCCAAAAGCACATGTAGTCATTAAGGCATACTTCAATCTTTGTATATCTAAGATCAAATGATTTTATTATCTTATTCACTTCATACATGTTCTTATGGAACAACGCTCCTTTGGGAAAGCATCAACTAATAACTCCAGTAACATTTTGAATGATCTTGAAGTCCAAGAATGTAAATACTTCAAACAATATAAGTGCATAAGAAAAGATAGCTTTGAGAATGACTTACACCCAATGTAAAACTCTACTCCAGCATCCTGCATTAATTTTTAAAATTTTCACTATTATCATTTTGCTGATTTTTCATTGACCTCATTCTATTCATCCACTATATTTGGAAAAATATTGTCCCTTAAAAATCCTTATTTATCATCTATATCTATATGATAATTATGAACCATTTGTACATCTAAATTTGATTTAACAAGAAATATATCATTCATTGCAATGTCACTTACATTGTAATGTTCTTTCTCATGTAGATTCTATATGGCATATCCCTCAAAAAATTCTATAGCAATTAAGTGATCTTTGACACATTTCATTAAATGGAAGTATCTATTAATGAATTATTTGTGTGGACATAAAAATTTTCTAATCAATTCTAGCTTGAACTTGCAAACTCAAGAAAGTTATTAACAATATCTATGTAATCACAACTCCATTTAGCTTTTGTAATCAAGGTCTGAATCATATCTAGTGAAAAATAGGCTTAAAATTTAAAAATTAAAATAAATAGTTATTTAAATAGTATATAAAAAGATTCAAAAATATTTTAGTCATATAAATCACTACAAGAAAAAGGCTAATTTATGAAAAAAAAAATTGTTGAAAATTGCCAAATTTCCATCAAATAAATAAATTTTCAACATCTTTCTAACAGAAAATATTCCATTTGTAAAACACTCATAAAAAAAGATTAATGATGATAAAAAAAATCCAAAAAAAAAAAATCAGTGAAAATTTTATCAAAAATCTTTTTGATAATTTAAAGAAAAATATCGTGTGCGACTCATTTTTCCTTTATTGGAGCGTTGTATTCCTATACCTTCTTCTCCTATCATTCTCACCTCATTTCCTACTCCACTACACCAACCAAACCCATCCCTAAATGCTACCCGTGAATCACCTCTAATGTGAGAACATAAACAGACAAACTCGCATACCTGATGCCTACTATTGTTTGTAAACTTTTGTTGAAAAGTGTAAAACAATCATAATTATATTTTCATTGTGAAATTTGAATATAATCCATTTAAATTTATTTTAGTTTTGTAGTCGAACTCTTCATTATGAACAATGTATCACCTTGAGAGGTGAAAAAATCATTCCCTAATAGTCAAATTATAA